TGTTATCTATCTCCTGTAAAAGTTTATTTGTGATCAAATCCCTGCCTCTGAAGATGCTACAGCCATCCCCCACCTGCTCAACTCCAAATATTGAGTCTATACTAACTATCATCCTTTCCCTTATCTTCAACTTCCAGTCAGCCCACAAGTTATGTTCTGCTCATTAACTATATTTTATTTTGTTTTTATTTCTTCTAAACACATGGGATACATGTGCAGAATGTACAGATTTGTTACATAGGTACACATGTGCCATGCTGGTTTGCTGCACCTATTGACCTGTCGTCTGAGTTCTCTCCCCTTACCCCACCCCCAACAGCCCCTGCCCTGTGTTGTTCCCCTCTCTGTATTCATATGTCCTCAGTATTCAACACCCAATTATGTGTGAGAACATGTGGTGTTTGGTTTTCTGTTCCTGTGTTAGTTTCCTGAGGATGATGGCTTCCAGCTTCATCCATGTCCCTGCAAAGGACATGATCTCATTCCTTTTTATGGCTGCATAGTATTCCATGGTGTATATGTACCACCCTTTTGTTATCCAGTCTAACTACTGATGAGCATTTGGGTTGGTTCCATATCTTTGCTATTGTAAATAGTGCTTCAATAAACATACATGTGCATGTGTCTTTATAGAATAATTTATACTTTAAGGGGCATATATTCACTAATGGGATTGCTGGGTCAAATGGTATTTCTGGTTCTAGATCCTTGAGGAATTGCCACACTGTCTTCCACAGTGGTTGAACTAATTTACATTCCTACCAACAGTGTAAAAGCATTCCTATTCCTCAACAGCCTCACCAGTGTCTATTGTTTCTTGACTTTTTAATAATCACAATTCTGACTGGCATGAGATGGTATCTCAGTGTGGTTTTGATTTGCATTTCTCCAATGATCAGTGATGTTGAGCTATTTTTCATGTGTTTGTTGACCACATGTATGTCTTTTTTTTAGAAGTATCTGTTTATATTCTTTGCCCACTTTTAATGCGACTGTTTATTTTTTTCTTGTATATTTGCTCAAGTTCCTTGTAGATTCTGGATTTTGAGACCTTTGTCAGATGGGTAGATTGCAAAATTTTTCTCCCATTCTGTAGGTTGCCTATTCAGTCTGATGATACTTTCTTTTGCTGTGCAGAAGCTCTTTAGTTTAATTAGATCCCATCTGTCAATTTTGTCTTTTGTTGCAATTGCTTTTGACATTTTTGTCATGAATTCTTTGCCCATGCCTATGTCCTGACTTGTATTGCCTGGGTTTTCTTCTAGGGTTTTTATGGTTTTGGGTTTTACATTTAAGTCTTTAATTTATCTTGAGTTACTTTTTGTATAAGGTGTAAGGAAGAAGTCAAATCCCAGAATAGACCTAATAACAAGTTCTGAAATTGAGGCAGTAATTAGTAGCCTATCAAGCAAAAAAAAAAAAAAAAAAAAAAAAAAAAAAAAAAAGCTCAGGACCAGATGAATTCACAGCTGAATTCTACCAGAAATACAAAGATGAGCTGGTACCATTTCTTCTGTAACTACTCCAAGCAATTGAAAAGAAGGGACTCCTCCCTAACTTATTTTATGAAGCCAGCATCATCCTGATACCATAACCAGGAAGAGACACAACAAAAATAGAAAACTTCAGGCCAATATCCCTGATGAACATTGTTGTGAAAATCCTCAATAAAATACTGGCAAGCTGAATCTAATAGCACACTGAAAAACTTATCCACCACAATCAAGTCAGCTTCATCCCTGGGATGCAAGGCTGGTTTAACATATGCAAATCAATAATCCATCACATAAACAGAACCAAAGACAAAAGCCACATGATTATCTCAATAGATGCAGAAAATGTCTTTGATAAAATCCAACATCGTTTCATGTTAAAAACTCTCACTAAACTAGGTATTGATGGAACATATCTCAAAAGAATAAGAGCTATTTGTGACAAACCCATAATCAATAGCATATTGAATGGGCAAAAGCTGGAAGCATTCCCTTTGAAAACCAGTGACAAGACAAGGATGCTCTCTCTCACCACTCCTATTCAACACAGTATTGGAAGTTCTGGGCAGGGCAGTCAGGCAAGAGAAAGAAATAAAGTGTATTCAAATAGGAAGAGGGGAAGTTAAATTGTCTGTGTTTGCAGATGACATCACTTTATATTTAGGAAACCCCATCATCTTAGCCCAAAATCTTAAACTGATAAACCGCTTCAGCAAAATCTCAGGATACAAAAATCAATGTGCAAAAATCATAAGCATTCCTTTACACCAACAATAGTCAAGCAGAGAGCTAAATCATGAATGAACTCCCATTTGCAATTGTTACAAAGAAAATAAAATACCTAGCAATACAGCAAGGGATGAGAAGTGCCTCTTTAAGGGGAACTACAAACCACTGCTCAAGGAAATAAGAGAGAATACAAACAAATGAAAAAATATTCCATCCTCATGGATAGGAAGAATCAATATCATGAAAATGGCCATACTGACCAAAGTAACATATAGATTTAATGCTATTCCCATCAAACTACCATTGACATTCTTCAGAGAATTAGAACAAAATGACTTTAAATTTCATATGGTATCAAAGAAGATCCTGTATAGCCAAGACAATTCTAAGCAAAAAGAGAAATGCTAGAGGCATCATGCTACCTGACTTTAAACTATATTACAAGGCTACAGTAACCAAAGCAACATGATACTGGTACCAAAACAGACATATAAACCAATGGAATGGAAAAGAGACCTCAGAAATAACACCACGCATCTTCAACCATCTTTGACAAATCTGACAAAAATAAGTAATGGGGAAAGAATCTCCTATTCAACAAGCAGTGCTGGGGAAACTGGCTAGCCATATGCAGAGAACTATTTCTTAAATATACGCTAACTTCCCATGTTTAGTGACTTTATCTTTAAAATTTTGAAACTCCTTGCCTAGACCATCAAAATGGTTTTCTAACTAGATTTTCCTACTTCCAACCTGGTCACTGTTAAAGTCAGCTTTCCTTCTACTATTAGAAAGCTTTTCCTAAAATTAAAAGTCATATTAAATTATTTAATGTATTCACTTTACCACTGAAACAAAGTCAAACTCCATAATATTATGTCAAGTCTTTTATCATCTGGTCCTTGAATGTATTTCCAACCTTAACTCTGTTAACTGCCCTCTCCCCATATTCTGCACACTAGCTATGTCGAAAATACATTTGATTTACCAATACATCATGCTTTTGCAAGACCATACAGTTTTATATATCTTCCCATTGCCTGAAAACCTGCTTCCCTCTGTTTTTCATCTAAATTATATGAAGGCTTCAAAGGTTACTTAAGTATCCTATTTCCACTGAAATCTTCACCTATTGCCCACATCCTCCACCAGATATGTGTTGGTTCCTCTTCTCTATGCTCCTGGAGATCCCTTGTGTTGATCTCTTTTTTGGAATTCTGTTAAAAATGGTGGTGAGAACACTTAACATGAGATCTACCCTCTTAACAAAATTTTAAATGCACAATACAGTATTGTTAACTATACATCCAATGTTGTACTGCAGATCTCTAGAACTTAATCATCATTTGTAACCAAAACTTTTTACCTATTGAATGGCAACTCCGTATTTACCCTTCTCCTCAGCCCCTGGAAATCATCATTCTACTTTCTGTTTCTATGAGTTTTACTTATTTAGATACTTCATATATGTGGAATTATGCAGAATTTGGCCTTATGTGACTGGCTTATTTCACTTAGAATAATGTCCTCAACGTTTATACACATGTATTTACATTGTCACATATTACAGGACTTCTTTCTTTTTAATGGCCGAATAATATTCCATTGGCTATATGTACCACATTATATATTCATCAACTGATGGATATGTAGACTGTTTCCATGTCCTTGTCTACTGTGAATAGTACTGCAATGAACATGAGAATGCTATTATCTCCTTAAAGTTCTGATTTCAATTCTTTTGGGTAAATACCAGAAATGGAATTGCTAGATTACACTGCAATGCTACAGTAATTAAAATAGTATAGTACTGGCATAAAAAGATAGATATAGAACAATGTAACAGACTAGAGAACCCCCCACAAAATCTACACATACATTGTGAACTGATCTTCAACAAGGATGCCAAGAAAACGCAATGGGGAAAGGAAAGTCTCTTCTATAGATGGCACTGGGAAAACTGAATATTCACATGCAAAAGAATAAAACTGACCTTTATCTTACAGCCATATGTTAAATCAACTCAAAATGGATTAAAGAACTAAACATAAGATCTGCAACTAAAATTCCTAGAAGAAAACATAAGGGGAAATCATGACATTGGTCTTGGCAATAATTTCGCGGATAGTATACCCCCAAAAAAAAAACAGGAAATAAAAGTGAAAATAGACAAGTGAGACTACATCAAACTAAAAATCTTCTGTGAAACAAATAAAATAATCAATAGAATAAAACGTCCTCCTAGTACTTTTTATACCACCTTGTATTTATTGCTTCTCTTCTCTTTCTTCACACACATACACTGTTTGCTAAACTGGTGACCTGGCAAGCCTAAATACATGATATTCAGGATCAAAGCTGAAGAATAATTTTTCTAGTGGTGACTTTAATAGAGGTGGGAAAGTATGGGAAGAAGCAGGTTGAAAGGAGAAGAAAAAAAGAATTTAAGACAAACTTTTCAGGAAATTTCCCAGAATGTCATTAGATATCAAGAGATTTTTCCTTGTTTGCTACTGGTCTCTGGTTTGGAGAAGCAGGTTTAATAATTCGCAGCAAAATTAGCTCTCTCTATAAAGGAGAAGATATTTTCATAAAAATTGAATAATTTCCCGGCTGGTCTTCAGAACAAGTGTTACAGGTAACTAAAGAGATGAGTACCTTAGCAATGTAGAAATGGTTCTAACTTTTCTTTTTTAACCATTTCCTCACAACCTAAATGTATAAGAAGAAGACCGGAGGCCGAACACACTGAAGAACAAAGTGACTGAAGCATCTTACCTGAGACAATATACATATAAAATCAAAGAAGAAATGATGAACAGGAAGATGTAAAGCAGAGCCGTGATCACCACGCCAAGAATGCCTGGCTGCATGGTTCTTACAAACATCCAGTAGAGCTTCACAGCATCTGCCACTGGCGTCTCCTCATTATCTGTAAGCCACTGACACAAACAAATACAGATTTGAAAAACTAAGAATGGAAACACTCATCATCAAGTTAGGTGAATGTAAATACACAAAGACTCTGTGACCCTATAATTTGTTTTTGAATTAAATCTTCTAGGTACTGAATGAAGATTGCCAGCTCTTCAGGTATACAAAGGAAAAGAAAAAAGGTTGGCTTTTACATGCTTGGTTTACCAAGGTTTTTCTCATTTTCCCTCTAAGCCTTTATATGCACACGCTCGACATGCAATTCATAAAGTAAAAGCCATGTTTTATTTATGTACTATTAACTTCTGAATTTAATGAGCACAAGATATGAAGAAATTAAATCTGATGGTGAAAACAGTCCTTTCTTTCTGAAGCAGATTTGATAGGAATTTAATTTGTGCTATACATAAAAGAGATGGCTTATTTTAGAAACTTATAAAAAAGTTATCAGGGTACTTAATGTGAGTTTGAAAACCAAGTTTACATTAGGTTAATGCAGGCAACCCCAAACTTCTTACACAGGGGGCCAGTTCACTGTCCCTCAGACCTGTCGGAGGGCCACCACACACTGTGCTCCTCTCACTGACCACCAATGAAAGAGGTGCCCCTTCCTGAAGTGTGGCAGGGGGCCGGATAAATGGCCTCAGGGGGCCGCATGCGGCCCACAGGCCGTAGTTTCGGGATGCCTGGGTTAATGTAACAAAAAGCCCTTATTTTAGACAAGGAAAGATGTATGCTACATTGGATTAGAAATAAGAAAACAATACAACGTATTTTTTTAAAGTATATACATTTGTAAGGACCTACAGTGTCATCATATGACATCTTTGACCTTTGAGTTTTATAAATTATGGATGTCCTTTCATTATAAAGTCTCCTGATATTAAGTGGAAATAATATGCAAATATAAATATTAAGTAATATACCTTTTCTCCAATGCAATAGAGAAGGAAGAATTTCTTTAGTTTTTAAACCGATGATTAAACTAATGATAAAGATAGGTTGAAAAGGCACTATTTTAAAAAGCTTATCCAAATTACTTATGTGGAGATGAAAACAGAAGCCTAAGCAGATTCATTTGGATCTTCCCTATACCAAAATACATTTTAGTTTTTGGGCAATGAGTAGAATTGAGATGTTCCAACTCTCAGCTACTGCTTCATTGAGTACCACCTCGAAACTTTTATTTCTGTACTCTGTACTTGTTAACCAGTCTACCTTGCAAAAAGCATATCTGCTGCCTGTACTTTCAGCAGGAGATGTTAAGAGTCATCATGCATTTCTCTTATTCCACATCATACCTTTCTGCTGTTTCTTAAAGGTAATGAAATAGACTTGAGATTCATTAATGAAACAAAAAAAAAGATACATATTTGATGGCAATCACATAATCTAGTCCATATATTCTAATTATTTCTTTGACACACATGTATTGAATGCCTACTCTGTGTCATTAGGAACTGAAGATAAAAGAATAATAAGATTAGACAAAACCTCTACCCTCTTGGAGCTTACATTTACATGATTGAAACTCTCCATGTCAAATGATTCATGCACTAAAGATAAATTCTATGTCAAGGACTCATATCCTGATTTTTTTGTTTGACTTACCCCTAGGAGAGTATCCACTATAAACACTGCCAATGGGTCTAGAACTGTCCATAGTCCCATGGTAATGATTAACTTTGACAAGACATCAGGACAGGAGGCAAACAGTAGCTGACAGCCCCATCTGATCAGAACCGAAAGAAGTAGGATTGCATTCAGCATTAAAGGCCCCACCACAACCACAGCAAGCTCTTCTTCAATGTGAAGTGAAGAAGTGGGGTAGCAAAGCTCAATGGTGTGAGGGGAAAAATGGAATCTGTGGGAAAACAAGGTAATCACATAGGGGCAAACAAGAGGAACTGCAGACAACGCCAAGTGTACAAACCAATTTTTAAAACTGTGCATTTTGTTTGCTTTTTCTGAAATACAGAAAACTGGACACTTAGTAGTACCCCAAAATTTATTGTTAGAAGTCTTCATTTTTTTCCCAGCCCCTCAACATGTTACTTTCCAGGAAAAGGTAAATAAATTCTACCCTGTTTATTGTTGTTGTAATTGTCCTGTGCCGCCACGGAAAGTATGTCAATTTGAGCCACAGAACAGAGCATTCTAAAGACTAAGAGCATTTCTGCGGTTCACATGGCACATTTTAGTAGGCTATTAAAAATGTAGAATAGATCAGTGAATTTTCTAATGTGTCAGTCTCTAATAGAAACGAGGACTAGATATACATCTAATAATTCTTTAGAGTTTTAGCATAACTGATTGATTTTACTGGTGATTCTTGTAACTAGATTCCCAGAAACAACAAAAATGACACTGTCACCATTAACAACCAAAATATCACATCCTTTTGTTGTTCTAAAAGAGTCAACTAGACACAATTGAAGGACCTAGCCTAAGGGTTAGATCCAATCTGCGCCCAGTCACTCAAGCATCCTAGACCCAGGCTTTGCCACTGTCTTTCTTGCAGTGAGTCTTTATTTCACTTTAAGTTTTCCCTCCTCTGAATTTCAGCCTACATAAAGCTGTTTCATACTTAAACCTGCTCATACATTCTGTTTATCTGCCATCTACTAAAGGGAGGTATTTTTTCTATCTACTCCTTGACTTGTGCTTCAAAGAAAGTTTTATGCTTTGTTTTTATGTGGTTGTGAATATCAAATAAAGTAATGTGCATGCATTTCTTAGCACAGTATCTGACACAGAGAGTCATGCTCATTGTTGGTGCTGTTATTGCTGTGGCTCAAAGGTAAGATGTGACACAGAGCTACTGCATGACTCAAGCCTACAGACTGAGACAACAGCCAGACAAACATCCTTTGTATCTTAGGTCCTTGGTTGCTTAAGAAGTTAGTTCAACTGGGCTGCCAAGTTACACTGTGCAGTCTCATTTTATTAACAACTAACAAATGTTAGGGCTTCCTTTTCTATTAAAAAATAAAAGAGTGAAAAGCAAAAAACAACTAACCCAAGCATACAACACTTGTTCTTTCTGCTTTGGAAACCTTAAAAAAGGAAAGAGAAAGAAAGAAAGGAGGAACAAAGAGAATATCCAGATAAAAACTCCCCCTTGAAAATGCAGTTTAGTATAGACACATTTGCATATTCCATAATATATTCAGACATTTATGATTTAATTTTCAAAGAATATCAATAACTATATATGTACGTATAAATACAAATAAACCTATATATATTCTCTTTCATAAAGTCTTAAAGTTCTTTGCAATCCTCTTAATTGAAAATATACACACAACTTTATTTTTATCTGTACCATCGACATTTGAGAAAATGAATTTTACTTGTATTGGTATCTATCTGTTTGTCTATCTACAGTGTCTTTGAAATCATGTTTATGGAGAGATAACCTTTAAAGTGTCATCTTTTTCCAGAGGATAATGGCCCAGAAAGCTGCCTGGGCTTGAGTTTGGTAATTGTTTGAATTCAATCATTTTGCAGAAGAAGCAATCTTTGCTTCTCTGTGAATAGGTGATAAATCACACTTACATTACTTCTAAAATACCTTCAGCCTAAGTCACTCTGATAAAATCAAAATAGAATAAAACATTGTTGCTAAACTCCTTTTTGGAACCTGCTCAGATATTAGAACATATTTGAATCTGCTAAATTTAAAATATATATTGATGTACCAGTTATGTACTTATATATACAGGCCCATAAGGTGAGACTATAACTGTAATAGAAGTTCTTGCTCTTAGATAAAGACATTTTTGTCTTTTCAAATCATCTCTGCATTTTAGGTCTTACGGTAAATGGATGGGAGAGGTGTTTTGTACTTTCGTTTCTCCTATCAAGATGAAAATATATTCCTTTGACTTGCCGAGGAAAGCACTCACCTTGTAACAGGAGCTGAAATGGCCTGGAGGAAGAGACACTGGCCCAGGTAATGCAGGTAGAGCCTCAGGAACCAGAGAGAAACCATCAGCGGGATAATGTACCAGAAGCCCTGACTTTGCCATTGAGATAACTGAAGCTCTGAAGACACTGACACCAGCACAAAATGGAGATGCTTGAAGAAGTCTGCAGATCTACTACCAGCAACTGAAGAACAGCTACAAACAAAGAAGCAGTAGATAAAATCTGAGCTTAAAGCACAACCAAAAGTAAGATATTTTGAGAATAACAGTGAAGCACTGTGAAAGGAAAACTGAACAAAATTATTTCTAAATAAATAATTGGGACTCAAAACTATTTATGTTCCTTTTAGCTACAGTGGATGGCTCACATTATAGGATAACATAAACATGAATTAAGGAAATGCAAATCAAAACCACAATGAGATGTCACCTCACACCTGTTAAAATGCCTACCTACTACAAACACACACACACACACACACACACACACACAAAATAACAATTGTTCGCAAAGGTGTGAAGAAATTAAAACTTTTGTGTACTATTAGGGAGAAAGTAAAATGGTTCGACCACTATGGAAAACAGTATGGCATGTCCTCAAAAAATTAAAAATAGAATTACCATATGATTCAGCAATTCCACCTTTGGATATATACCCAAAAGAACTGAAAGCAGGTTCTAGAAGTGGTATTTGTATACCCATGATTATAACAGCATTATTCACAATAGGCAAGATGTGAAAACAATGTAAATGTCCATTGGTAGATGAATGGGTAAACAAAATGTGATATACACAATGGGATATTATTCTGCTTTAAAAAAAGAAGAAAATTCTGACACATGCTACAACATGGATGAATCTTGAGGACATTACGCTAAGAAAGTTAAGCCAGTCACAAAAGAACACATACTATGTGATTTTACTTACATGAGGAGGTATCTGAAATAGTCAAAATCATAGAAACAGAAAGTAGAATGGTGGTTGGCAGGCGTGGAGGAGAGAGGAAATGAGAAGTTGCAAACAGTGTAGAATTTCAGTTTTCCAAGATAAAAAAATCTCAAAAGACTGGTTGCACAATAATGGGAATATAATAACCACCGAATTGTAACTTAAAAATAGCCAAGATAGTAAGTTCATGTTATGTTGCTTTTACCATAATTAAACAGTTTTTTTTAAATAAACATGAAAGTAAATTATTGTAAATGGTAAACTTGTTTTTTATCTTTAAAATCTAAAATATATCCCTGCTTATCTCACTTACCCGCAATGACCTCTCTACATGAAGATTAAATTATTTGGATGCAACTTGTTAAAGATCAATTTTCATTTTAAAAATTGAAATTATCAGTATGTCATTAAAAATCTATGAATACAAATTCAAAACTTAAGAACTCTTTTATTCCATAACACAAGACTGATATTTTCAGTTGAAATAAAATATAAAAGGATCTCATACAAAGCATTCTGGTTTAGCTCTGATCTCTCTATATTTGGCATTCAGGACAAGAGATGTCAAAGTTTCTAAAATTATAGTTGTTGCAAGAGAAAAGATGAAGAGGCCATCTGAAAATAACTGAACAATCACAAAGCATTTTCCACTCAGTCCAAAGAATCTGTGGAGGCAGTATACAGTAGAGTTACCACAGTGCTGTGACTAAAAGCCCTGGAGCTGACAGTCTGGATATAATTCTTCTCTACACCTTAGTTTCCTCACATAGAAAAAGCACTAGTAATAGTACCCACATCCCAGGGTGAGCATGATGAGTAGGTTAACAGATATAAAACAATTTGAACCATATTATCACTGTGGTACATTCACAAAACAATGAACACTCAATCTGTTGCTTCTTCTTCTTTCTCCTCTAATATTTTCCAGTTTTACTTTGAACTAGTCTGAGCTTCCACTAAGTCCAAGAAATGTAGAAAACCTATCCAAATGATGATATGTTTCCTTTTATTTTTAAAGAGATATCAATATAGATATGCAAATATTTGTTATTTAATTAAAGCAGTAAATCACATGGGTATATACCACGTGTTTTATTAAACCAGTAGTTGATCTTTATAATAACCAGGCTCTAAATTCCTGGATTAGCATGCCTAATTTTTTTCTAGAAAGATTTTCTAGAATGAGATAGTAGATTCCTCAATGAAAAACAGCCCTAATCATAAACATGTTACCAAAGAAGAAACTAATAACAAACTAAGCAGTTCAGCGACTTAATGACAAACCACAGAAAGTCAGAGCAGTGCTGGGGATGGCACAGAAATGGAATTCATGGACATATTCAAAAGATGTTACATACAAAAGCTTATTGCTCTCTGAAGATGATCAAATATGATAACATAACATGGAAAGAGAAAATAAATAATGAAAACAAAAGTGGGGAGAAAAAAGAAAAACAAAGAACAAAAAGAAAAGCAAGAAAACAAGAAAGAAAGCAAGAAAGCGAAGCGAAAGAAAGAAGGCAGGCAAGCCAGCAAGAAAGGGAAGAACAGAAAGAAAGGAAAGAAAGAAGGAAGAAGGAAGGAAGGAAGGAAGGAAGGAAGGAAGGAAGGAAGGAAGGAAGGAAGGAAGGAAGGAAGGAAGGAAGGAAAAACTAGAAGATCGTAACTACAGTGTTTTGGTCTGCACAGAACTAGTGAGGCACTGAACCTGATATTGACAATTCCTTTTTGTTGTTCTTATGTGATTCTCCATGAAGGTGTAGAATGGAAAGCAGGATGTCTTTGCAAAGACATCTTTCACCTAATGGAAAGCAAGATGTCTTTGCATCGAGCATGCTTTTCAATTACACAAATGCGGAACAGTTAAAGAGGAAACAGAGCCCAGAAAGGTTTGGTTTCTATACCGTAATATAGTCAAGGGCTAACTCTCTTATAGAAGGGATTCCAGAATACCTCATTCCGTTTACCATCATGTGAAATGAAACCCAGAACTTTGCACACTGCTAAAGCAAAATATCCTGTACATGATCTCCTCTTCAGTTAATCACTTTATCATTGTTTTACCCTTCAAAGGGAAGGGAAAATCAAATGCAGATTTGGCATTGTGTGGTTTGCAAAAGAAAAAAAAAACCTGTAAAGTCTCAAATGATGCAAAACAGAAAAGACAGTAGCTTCTTTGATATTCGGAAATTTCCACTGTCCTTTCCACATCCATTGACAAGATGACTAAGCAGTTTAAGTGTGTATGCACAGAACCCACTATAAAGTCATACTTTTACCATTAGTTTCACTAATAAAATGTTTCCTGCTCACATTTAGATATACATTCAGATATACTTATTTTTTACCAGACTTTTTGATTTAGGGCAAATAACACCAAAATTTCATTAGTAGCCACTTAGATTGAATTCAAAATATTCAATTATTTTATACCTAGTCACCACAAGTCAGCGTTTGTTTTTTTGATTTATCTAGTAATGGTAACTATAGTATGTGGATTCAAAAATTAGGAAAATCCTTGAATCAATCATTTAGAGTTTAAAAATGTATATACTGCAAAATTAGAAATTAACCAAAAAAATCAGTTGATAATGGATGATGTCAAATAAAAGGCTATATCAAAAGCTCATTAACTGAGCAAAACCAGGCAGGTATAGTGTTATTAACAATGCCCATACAAAAATAAAATATGATGGTCTTTTCATCATTTTAAATTTGCCTCTGAAATCTAAATGTATAGAATTTAGAATTGTAGAATTATCTCTACAACTTTCTCCATTTATTCTTCAAATATTTTTCATTAAAAAGAATTTTGTTTCCATGTTTTTCAAAATTTTCTTGAAAGAGAGCAGCTTTTGTATCCTTCTAGACATGCAAGGCACATGATAAAATGCAGTGGCATTGTAGAATATCTTCATCCATATTGCAACTGTTCTTTTCCTCCCTTTGTAATCTTTCTTGGTTATGTACAAAGAGTATGACCATCAAAAGGATAATAAATGGCCTCTGCCACTGGGGTGTGTAATACGTATAGTGGGAATTGATTTGTTGGTTATGAAGGAAGCCATAGAGCACACAGATCACTGCAAAATCACATTGAGGCCAGCAGCTACTTCTCAGTTCATGCAGACATCTCCTATATTGCTCATAGGGTGAGCTGCCAGAGGGTGAGAAGAATGGTGAGGTCATCCAGTATTCAGCTATTAAATGAAACCTATTTCTCTGAACTTTAGCCACATTTCAAATGACACACATATATCCACCTTCCATGACCAGTCCTAATAAAGACCTGAAATCAAACAAGATTTCTATGATCCATCCATGTAATCATAATAAGAAAGACCAAAATTGCTTTGGAAAAAAAAAAAAAAAAAGGAGAATGGATTCTTAAGCTACTCTCTTCTACAGTTAACAAGAATCCTTAGGAATTAGGAATTTGGATACAGCAAAGAGCCACCACTCATCAATTACACATAATAATTCTTATTTTAAAATCACTACCAATAGATGGCACTAAAAATTTCCATATTCCTTTCTTTTGGCATAATCAAACATATTCCGGTTGTAGCATTTTTAAAAAATTAAGGTGCTTTTTTCATTATAATCATCTATAAGTAATTCTCTTATTTAGGTACTTCTTATTTCTTTTCCACCATATCCCACTCATCAGCACATTTTTGAGCATGGATATCCTCAGTGACTTCTTTCTAAGACTTAATAGTCACCTTTTCAGGGAGTTATTATCATGAAGATATCAAAGAAACATGCATACATCATATCATGTCACTGCTGAAGAAGGCTTTATTACATTTCCTCAGCATTCCCTGCTCCAGAGGCTGAACTAAAGTCTAAATTAAGTCCCTTGCCTAAGTACCATTACTAGTAACAAAGAATTTTTAAAGTAGTGTCTCCTGCTTTTTTGTTAGGACTCTGTCAGCTACTGAATCATTTTAGCAAGAAACCTGAGGACCAAGAAACACTAGGCTGATTGAAAGTGAGCACCTTTACGCAAAACGTAGGTTTTAAAAAAAAAAGAAAAAAGAAAAAAGTACTTCTTCCTTTGTAGAAGCTGGTTGAATTGGGTATAACTTATTCAACACATTATTAAATGAATATAATACGTCAGGCTTCATGACAGTGCAGGTGGCAGAATAATGGTCCCCAAATATTTCATGCCTTAATCCCTGGAATCTTTGACTATATGAAATTATACGACAAAGGAAAATTAAGTAACAGATGGAGTTAA